GAAATTTCTACCGTAGGAAGCGAATCCGAGCAAAATATTTTCTGATTTAACGTCCCTTGTAATTTATTATACCACCGTCTTCAATATTTACCCATCTTCAATGCTGCAGAAATGTTCCGTCGATTTCTTGAATATCCATATATGTCAGGTAGTACATGAGATTTTTTTAATTTCATTCCTAAATTTATTTTGGTATCTCAATTTAATCTAGAAGACTAAGTTTTAAAACAGATATTGCAAAAATTTAACATGCAATCAACTTTTTTTTTAAAAGATCATTCAGATTTTAGTGAAACTACTTTCAGAATTCTCGAGAACAGAAGGGACAATTCAATTTTTTTAAGTTAGAAAATGCAATTGGAGAAACAAGACATTAATTTTATTGATGTAGTTCAATATATCTAAATTGTCAACATTTACAAATATTTAAAGTCAATTATTTTTTGAAAAAAAAACTTAAAATAAATCAACGCTGTTTCAAAATAAAATTTTGTCTTCTAACCAGACTTTTACAATTGAATATTTTACAAGAGAGACCTAGTACATGTAAATATTTTAAGATATGAGAATATACAATATATACGATCTGAGTTTCCTGATACTTATTAAAGTGGCTAAAAAATAAGAACTGCCAGGCTAGTAAAATGCGAATATAAACATTATATTAAGAGTTTTGTTTTACACTGCATTAATATCTGCAGACACCATCAGCATCACCATGTGACAAAGAGTGTTTTACATGTTGAAAACCCATAAAAACAATTAATTTTGCATATTTTTCTATCTCCATTTTCCTCATTTTGATACTTTTGCAATCCCTATCTGTATCTCCGATCTCTCTAACTCTTAACATTTCAAATTTTTAGACAACTATTACAAACGATAAATTAAAATTCAGGCTTTCTTATATCATTGCCAACTCCTTTTTTTTATGGAACTCGTAACTTTTCTTATCTTTTCATTGGTCATTTGCAATATTATTTGTTCAAAAACATTCTGATTATACACACAAGTACTCTAAAGCTTATATCAAAAAGACTCTCGAGTTTCTTATTATAATATCTTTGTGGCTTGAGGAGACGGGGTCTTTCATCAAACTACTGGAATTCCCATTGGGACCAATTGTGCTCCATTATTAGCAGACCTATTTTTGTATTCATATGAAGCAGAATGTCATCAAATATTTTGCGTCAAAAAAGGAAACACTTTCTAGTCTATACCTAACACATCTATTTCATGTTTGGATCTTCTATATAAGGAGAAAGATGTTAGTGGTTATCTAATAACAAATCTTTATGATAAACGTTATGACTTTAACTTTTCAATCGACAATTTCCCTTACTTATGCAGCACTATACCTTCATCACCTACAAACGGAGTTTATATCTCTCAGATGATTCGATACGGAAGAGCATGCTCTACGTATGAAAAATTTCTAAAGCGAGGTAAATTATTGACAAACAAGTTGATGAAAGAAGAATATCAGCAGTCTCGTCTTGAGTCATCATTTGTAAGTTCTCTGGTCGATACAATGACTTTGACAGCAAATGAAATTTATCATTGAGTCAAATAATGACTGACTTTTTTTCATTTTGATTGTTAGGGCATTATTTACACATTCAGTTGTCCAAGGACTTTTTCAGTTATTTCTCAACCATGGCAAGGAGCACACGGCGGTAGGGATTGGTAGGTAGGGGATCTCCACTCCTCCATGGCACCTGATTCCATCACTGATGATTTGAAGGTCTGTGTTTGCTCCGCTTCTATTTTGTGGTGTTTTGTGGACGTTTGATCTAGAATGCTATTCGTGATCTCCACATATTTCATTTCATACCAAATAATAATTCATTTTTAAAAACAATGAAATTTAAGTAGTAACAAACCTTTATCCTGCAATGTTTGTAATATTTTATACCTAATTGTTATTCAAGTTTCAAATGCAGATACTATTTTTGATTTTTTAAAAGAAAATTCTTCATATGAAAAACAAATGCATGTTTTGTTAAGACTCTTTCAAGTCGAAATGCTAAGATAAAAATGTTCAAAGTGTTTTTGCTGCCAACTTGCATCAATGTAATTTTTTCTTTAATTGTAGTAGTATCGTATATTTTGACTTGTTTTCATATTCACCATCTTAAGAGAGAAAATCGGAAATTAAACATAAACAAAGTGCATCAAATTAAATCAAAAATGTTATTAAATAGTGATCAATTTTAACACAATTGTTTTATTTTGGCACAATAACTAACAGGTATATTTTTTGCTGTCAGTCTCATGTTATAAAATTGAAATAACTATTATTCTATTAACTAAAGAGTTACTTTGTACATTTCCAAGTCAATTATTTAGACGTAGAAATAAATTTTGCAGAACAAATACGGTCATTCCTTTGGAAAATCCTCAGAAAAACGATCACAAAATTATGCAAAATTAAAAAAAGTAATACTAAGATAATCCATGTCTTTGTATACTAAACTATGTTTGAAATGATTGCGTAGGAAAGGATGTAGGTTTGTGTTTACCATAAATTCCCACAAGTATGTAAAAAATGTGTCGACACAGCTTCTTCTTACAAATTTCTACTTTATTTGATAAAAATGTTATTTAGTTGACTGTTTTGTTGCTATCAATATATTGACGGTTTTGTTGCTATCAATTTCAGGCATTAACATATTTTAGGCCTCTCTTTTATAAAATTGCCATTTAAATGACACATGTTTTGTTGTTCAGACGATAACTCCAACCAAATATAACTCTCTGTGCATCCTGAACCCTTTTGCAGCAAGATGTATATTTGCATTTGATTTTCTCTATTTACCTGAATATTTTTTTTAATTTGGCATTACCTTTACTTTGTTATAATATGTGAATAAACATGTAAATGTACCTCATTTACCAGTGATCAATTTCTGAGTGAATCCAGAAATTAATATAATGTTGAAATATTGTGGAAATTTAGATATCCTTGTTACTAATCAATACAAAAAGATCCAGTGTCGCCACATTGTAAAAACTACATCGTAAAACGTAGATGCTTTACATTTTTTTACATTGACAAGGTACAAAATCACGCCTTCCATTTTTTTCCATAAATTTCTACAAATGTGTGACAAAAATATGTTGATACAGATTCTATTTTCCGATGGCAACTTATTTGGGAAAAATAGTTATTCAGTCGACTGTTTTGGTGATATCACTTTACGTTCATTATCATATTTTATGTTACTCTCAAATTGTCATTTAAATGACACATGTTTGGATGTTCAAACGATAACCCATAACAAATATTAGTTTGGGATAAAAATACCTCTCTCTGAATTCTGAACCCATTACAACCAGATGTATATTCATTTTGCGTTTAGCATTATCTGTCCTTTTTATAATAGGTGCATAAGCATGTAAATATACCTCATGCACCAGTGGGCAATTTCATAGTGAACAAAGAATCGAAATAGAAAGATGGAGGAAATTTATATGTTTATCCTTTTTACCAATAAGACAAGAAATGATCCAGTGTCGCCACATTGTAAGAACCACCTCGTAAAACGCAGATGCTTTAAATTTTTTACATTGAGTGAGGTACCAAATCACGCCTACCATTTTTCTCTCCGAGGAAAGTTAAGGTTATAGGTAACCTGCTTTCAAGACAAAATTGAGTAGTGTTAGATTATTTTAAAAAGACACCTCTTAAGAAATTCCAAATTATTTTTATGAGGATATGTATTGTCCCTTTGAATTGTATTATAGCGTGGTTTGTGATTGGAGTATAATTTTCCATAATTTTTTCCTACACAAACTGGAATATTTGAGATTCACTACATACTTGCCTTGTAAGGTTCGCTTTTTATTGTATATATTATCTGCGGATTTAATATTCACTAGCTGCACTATTATTGCATTTATCTAAACTGTAAAATCAGGACGGAATCCATCATGGGTTAAAATAATAATACATGGGGGGGGAGCAGCGTTAATATATTAAACAAAATTTTTGATTAACAACAAACTTTTTCCATACTTAATACTAAGTGCTGAATCAAAAAATATCTATACAATTAAAACATTTTTGTGGGGAAATTTGACGCTAGGTTCTCATGAGGTAAGATGTATATAGTTTCAGACAATACATGTATAATCTTTACGGGGTACCTATGATGAACCATGACATTCCTTATAGCATTTAAAACAAGATACCTCCAGGTTTTAAGGTCACTAAATATAATGTAATAACTTTCAACAAACAGTTGAATTAGACCAGAGGCCATAAAATTCATAATTTCGAAAGAAGCACCATCGCTTATTATTATTATTATACACTTAGAATGCTTAGTTTGATTACTTAATAGCCAAAGGGAGAGCAGAGAAACAAAAAAATCATTCCCACTATAAAATCAGTAGAACCCCACCCAACATGAACCACTGACCCTTGGTCACACATTTAGCAATTTTGGAAAAGGTACTTGTACCATCGGTATTTATAGCTCTTTGATTAATACGAAAGCACAGATGTCAAAGCATTATTTCAATTTTAGAATTGATCATTATAACATCCTCTTCGATGGACTCCTGTCCCAGGGGCCTTGAAATTCACAATTCTTGAAGGAACACCCTTATTCATTATAACTATTCAAATAAATCATCGATAAAATACCAGAGGTATGGAAGATTTTTCAAAGATTTAATGAATTTTTACTAAATAATCAATAAAGCCCCACTCTTACATCTGAACCCGCAATCAATATTCAGATATTACTTGAGAAATGAAAAAAAATATATTCCTAGTCAATGCGTGATTATTGGTTGCAGAGATCTAATTTCAATGTAAAATATTTTCTTTGATTTTTCCCTTTGCCTACGTCTTTTTGTAATGCAGTCTTAGTCTACATGACGTCATAGTTGACCAGCTAAGTGAAAAACCTTGTAAACATGAATTTCAGCAACATATTTGGGGAACTTTTGCAGTTTTATTTTATGACAGAATAGTTTATAAACTCGTTTTCTATCTCATAACAAGGAGTTTAGGAGTATTTTCACAACACTCTTAGTGAAGGGAAAGAAAATCAAGAGTTTTCCCACATTTTTGATATTTGTCACAATGTGACAGGAAATCACATTTATTCAATGGATGAATTACCGTATTTCACTGTTAAAAATGTAATAAAATTACAGTATTTTTTTCTGCAATGGTTGCTGCCGTCAATTTGCAGGTCATAAATGTAACATTTTATCGTTTAAATCAAGTTTTTTTTATTTCTTCAAAATTCATAATTTGCTCTTTGGATAAAATGTATTTCATTCAAGCGTTTTTCCTAGGTACATGCAAATGTTGAACTGAGCAACATTAATATACGACGGCGAGGAAATATTTTTTCGTTTGAATTTCATCATATTCCTGAAGATGAAGTCCCAGAGAATGCTGGTCACTCTACAATAAAAGGATTCGTGTAAGAAATATGTCCTGTTTTCAATTTCATAACATATATGACTACATTTATTTTTTAAAAAAATATTTGACATTCGATGACATTTGCATTTTTTAAAGTTCAATACCCATAAATAAATAAAGCATTTAACATTTCAGGTGTATGCCAAACTAAAATTTTATTTAAAAAAAAAGAAAAAAAACAGAATAAAATGAATACATAATACATAGAGATTAAGCATATTACAACTTTTACAATTCTTTTTTTTTTTTTTTTGTGCTACGCCCTCGGGGAATATAGTTTTTCATGGGCGAAGAAATCTATATGTCTCTTTCACTATCATGCAATAAATGTATATTGTTTCAAAATTATTTCCTATGTCTTATATGTAATATAACTCACTTGTGGTTATTCTTATCATTTTAAAATTGTTCACCTTCCAGTCGCCCTTTTAACAACGCCTTCACAGCAAATTTCTGTCAGAGGTGAGTAGGTGTCATTTCCACAACACATTAGGTTTGGCACGTTCGTGAAAGAATTAATTCCACCTTTAAATTTAAATTTATCTCACATAAAGTTTTATTTTAACCTAGTTTGCAAAATATTTCGGACTGAAATGCAACTGAATAATATTTTACTTATAAATGATTAATAAATAAGAAAGTAAGAAGTCCAAAGCAGTTTACATACTTGTATAATTATGTGGAGAGCATATTTTAAAAATCCTACAATTTCTCAGTAGTAAAGCGCGTTTTAAAAAGTTCTCCCATGTTTACCAAGACATCTTAAAACAATTTACTTTGTCAAAATAACTAATTTTAGTGATCGTGGTGGAAATTTACGAGGGTTGTCCAAAAGGCTCGTGGACAGTGGCGTTTCAATCAAAACAAATTATTCATGATATGCTTATATTACATCAAAATATTAGTTTTGAAAATGCAACTCAAAATAGTTTGATTTTTATTGTTTGAACTTAATAATTTTGTAAAATTCTCGGTAATTATCTGTCGCCGTTAGTGCACACGGACCAAGGTAAAAAATACCATAATTTTTTTTCAAAGTGATATGACTGAAATGATAATTTTTTCATAATACTAGTCTTAGCTGATTGAAAATTAAATAAATCACAAATAAAACGGTTATCGCCATTGTTGATACATTAAGTATCGCTTACTATATAGACACTGAAAATATTAAGCGAAAACCGCAAAAAGTATGTTTGAAAAATTGACAGAAAAAGCGAAATCGGCCATGCAAATGGGACAGGGTCCTGTTGTCCAATATAGTTTGATAAGGTTGAAACGTCGTCAAAAACAAAATATTTATTCAAACAACTTGACTTTCTTGGAATATATTTGGTCCAGTAATTTGTAATTGGTGAATACAATTTTTCAACGGTATGTAAAATTTTGGGGACACTACAAGAAGTGGAAAACCACTGATATTTGATGAAAAAAGATATTCCCATGCATGACGTTGTTATGAATCTAGCGCCGTCGGACTGGGCTTTGTCTGTCTTTAAGGAATAACTGTCTTATTTTTCGATTTCATGAAGTGATCCATCGATTGGCTTGCGTGATAATTTGCATGCATAAAATTATCACGCAAGCCAATCGATTGATCATCTTCATGAAATTGAAAAATAAGACAGTTATTCCTTATATTTACATGCTTTGATTCCGCCAATCCACGTGCGCCAATCTCTGCTTCTGTTTAGCTGTTTGTCCCGCCCTGCACGTGGTTTTTTTTTTTTGGAACCGCGCCAATACTGATGGAGAAATAAAGTACATTTACATTTGGTAATTTTATCTCGGACAAAGACATTGGAAATGTAAATATATATATTGATATATTTATATTGATTATATTGATGACGCTCGTAAATTATATTGTGTATTGTTTTGAATTTTAGAATCTAAACAATTTATAATCTGTACATAAATATTATTGCACTCACTTGACAATGTGACATAATAAAGAAAAATAGCTCGTGTCCATGAATATGCGATACAAATTCAAAATCCATATTTTTGACGTTATCATGAGATATGTGTTACGTCGACTGGTCCGTGCAGCATATACAAAGTATTTACACCTATAATGTTCACTAAATAGTGTGCAGGGTTTTGTTTTGCTCAATAATGGTCTATATTAAAATATCATCGTGCAATTTTGCTGTTGTAGATTTTATCAAGATAATTACGCATTTGTTCACGAACTTTTTTGACAACACTCGTATATTGTATTCTTTATTACATGTATTTGCGCACTGTTACTTTACATTAAATCTTCATCAATTATATACAGATGTATATGGAAAAAATTGATTGATTGTATATTGTTTAACGTCCCTCCCTAGAATTTTTACTCATGTAGAGACGCCACCATATGCCGGTGTAGAGCTGCAAATTTTATCCTATACTCGGTACTTAGGGCTATTGAGCAGGGAGGAACCAGCACCTACTGCAACATGGGACCACTGTATATACGAAAACATCCGAAGGATCGGTCTCCACGTCCCACAGTGCTGAATAAAACATTTTGACGTTTTGAAAATGCAAAATGAAGTATATAGAAATTCACCATTTTCGTCCTTTGACCTTTTTTCAAGAACTGGGCTTTGGTTAATCGTCCCTTTGTACACCTTTCCTCCACAGCAGATGTCCACAGATGGTCGGTATGTTCCTTCTATGATTAAAGATGTATATTTAAATTTACTTTGTAAGACTCTAATTAAAAGCATAACACAATTACAAGTGATAAATACACATAACACACAAGACCAAGACCAAATCACCAAAGTCTGTCTGGCGTATGAATACAGGGACTACGCAATTACAGTTCATGCAAATCGAAAAAAAAATTACTATTCATTTGTATTTCTTTCTTGCAAAACATATTTTATCATTTTAGATTGAAAAATAAATAAAACTTTGGTTATTGTTATCTGTTTTATTGTGCACTATTTTCGTTTCCGATTTTGGTTTGTGAGCAATCGAACTCTGGCAGGAAGTTTGGATTAAGCTGTTCCAAAGGCTGTTCTATCAATTGCAACTAAAAAAAAGGATGAGGCGTGATTTTTAATTAGAAAAATCAAAAGTGCGGAAAATACAGGGGCTAAAAATGTAAATATAAGTATTGAATTATCATTTTTTGAAAGATACAGTCTCATTATTGCAATGGTGTGTACAAACAAAAGCATCTTTTAAAAACAATAAATCAATGCTTATACTGTAAATCACTTTTTATTCGCGAGAACTTTATTTTCGCGTAATTACGCGAGACAGTGTGCTCGCGAAAATTTAATTCTCGCGTATAATAATGTTCCTTAAGATTATATAAAGCAATAACCACAATTCGTGAAAATTTTGTCTCGCTAATCAAGAGTCAATGACTATCTCGCGAAAATAAGGTGTCGCGAAAATTTAGTGATCTACAGTAATTCAATGATATTTTTATACACTTGTCTGTAAATGATTATCTTAAATTCTTTTTTGTTATATAAAAAGGTTTTATTTTTTACCTAAATGAAATAATACTGGTTATTTCAATCTTCATTTTGACGTCTACTCGGGGGATGAAAAAGCATGCACTGATTGGAAAGAAAAGCCACTTATTGTACAAATAAGTTGGATAGATAATTTTTTTTAAATTATTTTTTTTTTATTTTCAAGTAACTGCGTTGTTGACTTTCATTTTAATTAGTGAAATATAATGAAACTGCTTCGCTGAATTAAAAAAAGAATTAAACCTGAAATAATAAAATTGTTAAAGAAATTAATATTAGTTCAATGATCCTCTGCAATGTTTTTTAAAGGACAATGCAGGATAACAGCATAATAAGGCCCCTTATTTGACGTAAAAATCAGAATACTGGTTAGATAGTAATAGTCTCTAGTTAAGAATTACAATGATGCTTGCATTAAAACCAGCACTAATTTGGATTCAAAGCTTACAAGGAGGCCACACGAGGACGCAGAAGTAGGCCATTTTCCATAATTTTCTCATTTCATATGTGGAATTTCATCATATTTGAGATATTTATCTCTTCGGAAAACATAGAGCACAAGCTTGACTATCTGAGGTTTTTACACATAAATTGCATCTGATACCAGTGTATTGAGTAGATGAATTTTGTAGATAAGCAAGCTTGTTGCGTTTGTAAAAAAACTATTAAATTTATCTGTCAATAGAATAAAGTTTTTACCTCCGCAACATTCAATCCGTTGTCCTAGATGATATTTGTCATGAATTCCATGTTTACAGCAGACCTCATCAGAATCGTTAAATTCCTTATCGACGATATCATCTTTTACCGTGAAAATGCATCTTTTGATAACTGTTAATAAAGAGATTGATCAATGAAAAACATATTTTTTTGTCAAATTCCATTTAGATAATATTTGCTAAAATGTAAATGCTTATAAACTTACCAAGACAGAGACTGTGTTGTGCAGCGAAAACAGCTAACAGAAGCAGCAAATGTGCTGTACGCGTACCTCCCATGCCTTGTGACACTATCTAAACTACAGAAAATCGCAAAGTATACCGTGTGAGTTGACATTTAAATATTTTATAAAGAAATGGAAAATTACTAATTTGATTTTGATTAAGGAAAAAATTTGCTATCCTTTAAGGAAATACATGTAAGCTTAATTGTTTGTTTGTTCAATGCCTTTTTGACATACCTTCCCCATTCTAATGAAAACCTTTTTACAAAGATGAAATGTCAGATCTGAAGAGGGGTTTCCAGTTGATAATGAGGTTATACACAGATATCAAACCTAAAAATAACATTTAAATAACCTATAATTTTTCTTAATACTTTATTTTTTCAAATGTCTTATCATTATGTAAAAATAATCTTGAAAGGTGATTTTTTTCTTCATTTCATAATCTAATTTATAATTAAAATAAATCTGTATAGTTTGTTTGATTCTTATATATACCCGCTCCAAAGGAGTCATGAAGGGGTGTACCGCTTCACTCTTGTGTGTCTGTGCGTTTCTGTTCTTCTGTCTTTCTGCCTGTTTCTCTTTAAGGAACAAATTTTCGTCGAAATTCTCAAAATCTACTCTTTGCAGATGCTTGTTAAGGCATACCATATAATCGGATTCTTTTTTGTACATATCAGACGTCAACTTCCTGTTTAATCATGTGTCTGCTCATACTAAGTTTTCATCGCAGTTTTCTCAGCAACTACACGTTGCAGACGCATGACATTTTTACATAAACCTGACAGCGCATATCCACATCCAACTGAGGACTTAACTAATGAGCATTAATTAGCTCAAAGACTCATTTTCGTCAAGTTTGCATGTTGCATGTCTTTAAAAGCGAAATGAATAGAAATGGAGAATACTTCCTAAATATGTCCTTATAATGTCAGCTCTAAGGTAATTTTTAACTATATATAGCAGGAAGAGGAAGCGTGTGTTCAGATTTCTTTTTTTTTTTGTGAATCGTGTCTTATTGGTCACATTTACCGATTTTCCGTATATTTATTTCCACACGTTCGAAAATGAATCAAAGCCTTCCACTGTTCATCTATTAGGATACATTTACAATTTCCTCTTGCACATGTGTTGTTAATTTAAACATAAAAGCTCTTTTGTGACAGTAGATTGTTAAAATAAAATTCAGTTGCATTATTTTTGTTTGTTGATCAAATTAAAATTTCTGTTTTAAATATCACATTATGTACAGTGTCGATTGATCAGGCCAGTTGCCAATAAAATTCTGCAAAATTCACAAAATGTATGCCATTGAACAGTTATAATTATTAAAAAGTTTCCCTTGCAGCATTGCAATACCAAAATATATCTGTTAATATGGTCTTATCCAAAGAAATGGTACCTTTTTAGACTGCGGATAGATTGGATTGATAGATTTGACACACAGGCACCTGTTTCGTGCTGATTTTGGACACTGTTTATAGATTAAATAAACCCAAGCATGTTGAAATTGATTGTGTACATACATTATCGTAGTAGGCAACGGTAATTTACACATTTCAATAGAAAATGTAAATTAGTATGAATTCAGAGAGAGGGTTATCCATGTGATTTGGAATAGAATACTTTATGTTACTAGTATTATCATAATAGAATGCATGGATCAACAACAAGATGTGTTTGTAAAACACTGATCCCCATATAGCAATATAGCGAAGGTTAAGCTTTATTTTAAATGCAGATCAAATAGGTTGGTACTTAAAGTAAGGTCTTTTCACAAGAAATACAAATGTGAAATATAAAACCCTAGCACCACCTGTTCAAAGGTTATGACCATGGTAAAAGTTTTTAATGGTAGGACAAACTCCAGGGTCAAGGACAAAGGGTCAAGGTAGTTGGTTTCTAAAAAAAAAGTCTTGTCTCAAATTACATATGGGAAGTATGAAAGTTCTGGCCCTTACCGTTCAAAAGTTATGGCCAAGGTTAGAGTTGGAAAAGTAGGTCAAACTTCAAGGTCAAAGGATCAAGGTTTTTGATATCAAATGAAAGTTCTTGTCACAAAGATTACATATGTGAAATGTGAAAGCTCTAGCCCTTACTGTTCAAAAGTTATGGACAGGGTTAAAGTTTGTAAATAGTGTGTCAAAATCCAAGGTCAAGTTCAAAGGGTCAAAGTTGTTGATATCCAATGAAAGACCTTGTCTCAAAAATTACACATGTGAAGTATGAAAACCCTAGCCCTTATTGTTCAAAAGTTCTGAGCGAGTTTAAAGTTTTTTCTTTAGTACGGAAATCTCTAAAGTCAAAAAGTCAAAATTGTTGGTTTTAAATAAAAGGTCTTGCAACAAAAAATTGATATTTGAAATATGAATTTCATAGTGTCTACCATTTAAAAACTAGGGCAAAAGTAAAAGTGTGGATCTTTTGTTTGAAAAAGTGGGTCAAACTCCAAGGTCAAGGTCAAAGGGTCAAGGTTCTTCATATCAAATGAAAGGTCTTTTCGAAAGGATTGAAGATGTGATGTATGAATGCCCAAAACCTAACCCTTAAAAATATTGTCAAGGTTGTATTTTAAAAGTAGGACAAACTACAAGGTCAATGTCAAAGGGTAAAGATTATAGAATTTAATGAATTCAGTGAACCCACAAGGATTACATATGTGAAGTATGAAAGCCCTAGCCGTTACCATTCAACGTTTATGGCAAAGGTAAAAGTTTTTTCATAAGTATGGAGATCTCCAAGGTCAAGGTGAAAAGGTCAAGGTTTTTGGTACTCAATGAAAGGTCTTGGCACAAAAAATATATACATGAAGTGTGAAAGTCCTGCTAACTGCTGTTTCAAAGATTCGGCCAAAGTAAAAGTTTGGAAGTTTTGTGTAAAAGTAGGTCAAACTCCAAGGTCAAGGTAAAAAGGTCAAATATGTTGGAACTCAAAAAAAGGTCTTGTCAAAAGGAATACACATGAGAAATATGAAAGTCATAGTTCCACTAAATCAAAAGTTATGGGCAGGGTTAAAGTTTTTTGCAGACAAACATACAGAGAGACACAGACAGAGATACAGCTAGACAAACAGACTGACGGACGAGATTAAAACAATATATCCCCAAAACTTCGTTTAGGGGGGGGGGGCATAAAAAAACAAGTGCATGGATTTGACTGTAGAATATAGCGCTCTTACCAACTGATTGGGAAAGTCATTTTAAATTCCTTAATCCGTAACATTTACGAAAGTAAACTGTATTATAATCTACTTAACAGCACTGTATTGTATTATTTATTCATGTTTTTTTTTTCTATTGTATGCCTTTATTTTTATTCATTTTTTTTTTATAGAAGAAACTGTCTATACAATGCGTGTGATCTTTTTGAATATATGTCAATATGTCTGTATTTTCATTCTTAAATTTGTTCATTACATGGTTATTTACAAGCTGTATGTACCCATGTTTCTTTTCATTACATTGTTCACGGGGGGGGGGGGAACACTAAGGTACATTCATTGACATATTCATACATGTAGAAGCAAATCTTTGATTTGGTGGAGAACCAAATTTTAAGAAATCCTTCTTTGTTCTTGCAAATGAATATTCTTCCATATCTTTGAGAGAATGATTTTTTCTCTCTTTTGTAGCAAAATTTTGTGAAATATTTTTAAACTAAATTTTTCCATAATTGTTCTGGTAAGAATATTATATAGTATTTACGATTGAATGCTAAATGGCTGTGTGATGCGTACAGTGTGTGTGCCTGTCTGTGTCTGTGCTTGTCACTCTCGCTTTCAGCTCCACCCCTGGCTAGCAGTTTACTGTGAAGGAGGGAGCAATTTCTGTAAGTCTCTCTTGCCAGGTATAGCCTCTCCACAGTTAGACCTATGTGGCCCAGATATGGGATCCTCCTAGAGGTAGCAGATGGGAATTGGGTACCTTGCGGCCCCAAGCAGAACCACAGGGTCTTGGAGGAGACCAGGCCCCTAAATGCATGGCACGCATGGCCCACCGGCGAGTGGATACGCCCTGGTGTCTGCAATCCTGGTCCCCAGCAATGGGTAAATTGCACCCCCCATGGTTATTGGATGGTGCCTCCACTGCATCATTGGACGGATGAGCTGCACAAGACAGCCAACGGCCAGGGCGGAGTAAGTTGTGACCAAACGGCCAAGTGGAAAAGGAGAAAACCTCAAATCCGGAGTGGGGACCCGTAGGCGGAGCAGTGCTACCAGAAACACCGTTCCGGCATCTCCTGCAGCCAAGCTGGCGCCAAACGTCATGCTCTGCATTCCTTTGGATCCCGTCAGTAAGGCCGAGAGGGGGATCCTGACGACTGGGCCACGTAGGATCTCCTTACTGTTGGCCCAGGCTTCGTGCCCTGGAGAGGACACTCCAGCCCCACTGCAAAGTGTGGATACAAAACCGGAAGTTGTCAGTTTACGGGTTATAAGCCCTTCCAAATTGGCGTACAGGAAGGACGCCACGGGACAACTTCGACGGTGGGAGGGACCATCGTAGTCCTATCGTCCGACTACCGCCCGCCTCAAGCTGGGCAGCCCCCAGCCAATAAAGGTGTCGGTCCGCCAACGTCTGTTGCTCCAGAGGGTGCCTGGAGCTAAATGTTTGCCAAACATGGAAAGCAGACGGAAACCTAGTAACCCAACAAATACAGAAAAACAAAATCGTCCATCTTGCGACTGGCAAGCTGGAATGTCAGGACAATGTGTCCTGGCCTATCTGAAGATCTCCGACAGATTGATGACTCCAGGAAAACGGCCATTATCAACCGAGAGCTGAGAAGGCTTAACATTGACATTGCTGCCTTACAAGAAACCAGACTCCCATCAAACGGTAGCCTAAGAGAGGAGGATTACACATTCTTCTGGTAAGGAAACGAACCAGAGGAACCACGTATACACGGTGTAGGATTCGCAGTGAGAAACTCTCTACTTTCATCAGTGGAACCGCCTCAAAAGGGTACACCCAGAATCCTGTCTCTTCGCCTCTCCACCTCCTCTGGGCATGTCAACATTCTGAGCATCTATGCTCCCACACTCAGCTCCACAGTGGAGACTAAGGATACGTTCTATGAGGTGCTTGAGACTACCATCAGAGAGATCCCAACCACAGAACAAGTATATCTGCTTGGGGATTTAAACGCAAGAGTGGGAACTGACCAAGAAGCTTGGCCTCGCAACATCGGCCACTTTGGCGTTGGGAAACTAAATGATAACGGTCAGCGACTTCTTGAGATATGCTCCTACTACGATCTGTGCATAACCAACACATTCTTTGCCACAAAGCCCCAACACAGAGTCTCATGGTGTCATCCTAGATCAAACCATTGGCACCAACTGGACCTTGTGATCACCAGAAGACGCTCACTGAACTGTGTCCTGACAACCCGCAGCTACCACAGTGCGGACTGCGATACCGACCACTCACTCGTTGGCAGTAAGGTGCGTCTCCAGCCAAAAAGGATTCATCGCTCCAAACAGAAAGGACGTCCACGAATAAACACAGCAAGGACAGCAATGCCAGATGTTTGCGCACGCTTTGTTGACTCTATTGAAGAGGCCCTTCGTAACTGCCCCACCAGCAGTGCTGATGAGAGGTGGAACTACATTCGTGACGCCATTTACACTTCAGCGATGGACACTTTTGGCAAAAGAGTGAGACAAAACCCAGACTGGTTTGAAGCAGGAATTACAGAACTCGAACCAGCAATTACAGCCAAAAGAAACGCCCTGCTCAACTACAAACGTGGACCTTCAGAGAAGACACTTGCTGAACTCAGAAAGGCCAGAAATGACGCCCAACGGATAGCTCGACGCAGCGCAAATGACTACTGGCTGAATCTCTGTAAAGGTATCCAGCACTCTGCTGACTGTGGTAACATTCGCGCCATGTACGAAGGCATGAAGAAAGTTTTTGGTCCGAGCATCATCAAGACAGCGCCGCTGAAAACAGTCTCTGGTGACATCATCACTGACAGAGGAAAGCAGATGGAGAGATGGGCCGAACACTATCAAGAGCTCTACTCAAGAGAAAATGTCGTCAGTGTCACAGCTGTTGAGAATACCAATGTCCTACCAGCTATGGAGGAACTTGATGCTCCACCTTCAATAGATGAACTCAGTAAGGCCATCAACTCCCTAGCCAGTGGGAAAGCCCCAGGTAGCGATGGCATTCCCCCAGAGGTCATCAAAGCGGGCAAGAGTTCCACTCTGTTACATCACCTGCACAAGCTGTTACTCCAGTGCTGGGAAGAAGGAACAATTCCACAAGACATGCGCAACGCTAGCATCATAACGCTCTACAAGAACAAAGGAGACCGCAGCGATTGCAACAACTATCGTGGAATATCCCTACTCAGCATTGTTGGGAAGGCATTCGCCCGAGTAGTGCTAAATCGATTGCGGAAACTAGCAGAACGAGTCTACCCGGAGGCGCAGTGCGGTTTTAGAGCAGAAAGGTCAACCATCGACATGGTTTTCTCATTACGCCAATTACAAGAAAAGTGTCGAGAACAGAGACGCCCATTGTACATTGCCTTTATTGACTTAACCAAGGCATTTGACCTGGTCAGTAGGCAAGGTCTCTTTACCCTGCTACATAGGATCGGATGCCCTCCAAAGCTCCTGAGGATAATCTCGTCTTTCCATGAAGACATGCAAGGCACTGTCCAGTATGATGGTTCATCCTCAGATCCCTTCCCCATCAAAAGCGGCGTAAAACAAGGATGCGTACTTGCCCCAACGCTTTTTGGCATATTCTTTTCCCTGCTGCTGTCATACGCATTTGATCAGTCAGAAGACGGCGTGTATCTGCACACCAGAAGTGACACACCAGCAAAAACCAAGTGACGGAAGCCTCTTCAACCTTGCGCGTCTCCGAGCAAAAACCAAAGTACGCAAGGTCCTGATCAGAGAGATGCTATTTGCTGATGATGCCGCCTTGACTGCACACACAGAGCAGGCACTACAACGACTCATCGACCGCTTTTCCAATGCATGCGATGAGTTTGCTCTCACCATCAGCATCAAAAAGACCAACATTATGGGCCAGGATGTCTGCTGCACTCCCAAAATCTCCATCGACGAACATATCCTTGAAGTTGTGGATTCATTCACCTACCTTGGGTCCACCATATCAAGTAACCTGTCCTTAGATACAGAGCTAAATAAGCGCATTGGGAAAGCAGCATCAGTAATGGCTCGGCTAGGAAAACGAGTATGGGACAACGCCATGCTGACAACAAACACCAGGATAGTGGTATACAAGGCGTGCGTTCTCAGCACACTCCTGTACGGCAGCGAAGCCTGGACCCTGTACTCTCGCTAAGAGCGTCGACTCAACACCTTCCACATGCGTTGCCTCAGAAGAATTTTAGGCATCAGCTGGAAGGATCATGTCACCAACAAGGACGTATTGAGACAGTCAGGGTTACCCAGTTTGTTTGCCTTGCTAAGCCAGAGGCGATTGAGATGGCTTGGCCACGTAAGCCGCATGGACAATGGCCGTATACCGAAGGACGTGCTGTACGGAGAGCTGGCAACTGGAACAAGACCTACAGGAAGGCCTGTTCTTCGTTACAAGGATGTCCTAAAACGTGACATGAGGGCCGGAGACATCGACCCGGAGTGTTGGGAAGCAGTGGCTGCTGACCGAAATCGATGGAGGCATGCTGTCAAGGCAGGCCTCCAACTCAGTGAAAAGAGGAGGGAAGAACAGTGGGATGAGAGAAGACAGCGCAGACGACAAAGAGTAGCTTCAGTCCCGGTACAGCCAAGCGAGCATTACATCTGTGCTAACTGCAACAAAGCATGCCGCTCCAGAATCGGACTTTACAGCCACAGCCGGCGCTGTCACTCAACCACAGACTGATGCCGATCCTTGGCACGATCTCCATTGTCTCCCGAGACAGAAGGATGCCAACAACAACAACGATTGAGGTCATTTCGTTTTTTTTTACATAATACATAAATATATAATTAAGTATATATTTCTTTAAACAATTACTAAAATACGGAATTAATAAGGTTAATAAAATCGTGAACATTGATGAGTAAGCACTTTGCAGTTGAAAGATGTTTAATAAAATTAAAAATACAAATGCTTTCAATGTTATCTGACAGAATTGAGATAATACTACGCGTGGGAAGTTAAATTTTATCTTTAAATGAGATGTACTTGTTCAGAAAACAAAAATATTACCCCTAGATTTTGTGCAGCAAATCTGTATAGAATTATCAAATTTCATTTTTAAAAAATTAGCATTCTCCACATACACCCATTTCTCAGTTAATCACTGCTTAGTAATAACTTTAAATCTTTGCCAAATTAACTGTTAATTTTATCCTTAAAGGAGCATGGACACAGTTTCAGCTTAAAAATTTCAAAATTATTTTTTTCCCTTTTTTTAAAATATTTGAAACACATATATACCTAAGGTACATCTAAAGATCAGCAAAAATTTGATTTTCAGTCGTTGAGATACAAGACAGATTTAGAGATCCAAACCTTTGTTATATAAACAAAGACCTTGCCATGGTTTGTTAACATAGGTTAAATCACAGGCACCAAACTCGCTTGAATTTTTGACCCCCTAGTCTCTTTATCATATACTAGGGGGTCAAAAATTCAAGCGAGTTTGGTGCCTGTGGGTTAAATATACTAATATGTACTAATATATGTTCGTTCAAAGCATTTTTTTTTTCCGATTAAAAAGTTATTTGACTGTTTTGACAGTTTCTAGTGATCTGCTGAGCCTCATTTTGTTATAGATATATTTTCTATATCTAAACAAAAAACGGCACTAGCCTTGGTTACATTATGAAGGATTTTAATGCCTTTATCTCATTTGTAAATCAACAAATGATGGTCAAATTTTGGTCAAATTTTGCGGATCATTTGAATTACCTTTAAGAAATTGTAAACATCAAAATTGGTTTTAAAAAATCGGTCGAAACTGTGTCCATGTCCCTTTAAGTAAAGAGAATTTATTCAGACTTACAATAAAACACATCAAAGCTGCGTATTTTTTTTTACAACAAAGATGAGAAAACGAAAACAGAAAATCGTCAGTAATTCATGTTTGTAGAAAGAAGATGGGCGAATAAGGCGGGCAGAATGCCTATAGTGCGACAGATAAGAAGTGAAAATTTTAATCTCAATTGAATCCAAATTTTACTTGATAGCGAGCGCAGCGAGCGTCGCGAAGCGACGCTCGCGAAGCGAGCTCAATAGACTAACGTTTAAGAACAGAGAAAATTCGGATTGAAATCTGTACATACGTCAGCCAAATTTCTCTGTGCAACATTCCCAAAATTCCTGCACTACCCAATGTCCTTGCGCGAATATTGCCGAATAAATAAATAAATAATAACGTAAATCATATATCAGAATTCAGTTTGTAGAAATCTTTCAAAGAAACAAGAAATAACTCTGCAATGTTTTTCAACAAAATGTGCACTAGTTCTATAGTTTCAAACAGACGCTCGGCTGTCTCCAATCGGCAATCCTCGGCTGACTCCGCTACGCTCCATTCAAACCTCGGATGTGATTAGTGGAGGAATACGCAACAGATCCTTACATTTCTCCGCCGGAAACTGCCTTATCACTCATTTCATATTTCGCTCTGCATAACGTTCTTCGACAATGTTTCTTAATTTGTACAATTCTTTATCGTAAACAGGTTTTGATTAACTGATGTTAGTAGACTTTGATAGCAAAAACAAACTGTTGGGTGTGCCTCAAAATAACCCCGATTTCAAATGTATGACATTTGAAAAAAATTCAAATAAGATCACATGACTGAATCAGCAAGATGGAAGATCACCGTTGACGTCCGAGGTTATGTGCGAGGTACGAGCCATCCGAGGAACTCCGAGTGGGCTGTCTCCGTAAGCTCCGACGAGCTTTGTGACGTCGTATGACGTCACAGCTAGTCGAGAAGACTCGTGCGGCTTGACGTTCGAAGTGGCTGATCTCAAGTGTTTTTGATGGTACAACTGCGCTCGCCCCAACGGTCACACCGTAAAACATATTATTTCATCTAATATTAAAGTATACTTTATGTAAAATCTCTACATTTTAAAAAAATCTCACAAAGACTAAAATTATTGCCTATGAAAAAGCTTACACACACTAAAAAGAACAAAAAAGATCATTTTCTCATGCTTAAACAAAATTTTTCAATATGGGTGGGTCTTCTCTCCATTTTTTTGAAAGATGATCCTAAAAGTTGGCAATAAAATATACATTTTTTGGTTTTCAAAAACATGGAGCGAAGACCCACTATACCTTAAAAGTACACTTTTATGACACAACATTAGCATCTTTCCGAGAAATACTTCAAGTCCATTAAGTCGCAGGTCATATCACAAACATGATTTCAATGCCTAGAATCTTCATGAGCGGTGTAGCATAGTGGTTAACGCGTTAGTCTCTTAGCAGTATGCTATTGATAAGTCGGATTCATATTTCTAGGGTTCGAATCCCACGAATACCACCTAATAATTTTATGAAAGAAAATTTTTTACGAGATTTTTTTCTCTCTCAGAAAAGTTTTTTTTTCTCATAATTTCTAAAATTTCAATAATTAGACGTTATTTAAAAATCAATTCACATATTTGATATGATTTTTTTAATATCTGACACTATAGGCAATCTGCCCGCCTTGTTCGCCCATCTTCTTTGAAATTGAAAAATGTCGACAGTGCATTTACTAAGACTTTTATGACGCACATGTGCATGACAGATCAACAGGTGCAAACCACAGGTACTTGTGGACAGGAACCCCCCCCCCCCCCCCAATATTCAACCCCGGGGCTTATTGGACATTTTTTTCAAAAATTATATTTATTACACTTATTCATTATGTGTACAATATGAAAAAATCGTCAAAACCCCAAATCAATCGCTCTACAAAAATACCCCACTATACATTATAAGGGAGAAAGGTATGCCACTCCGGTTTGTTTACGTTGTACCCCCACTGGTCTTTCTGGGTTTAAAAACATGTATTTATTTTATTTCAATCTAAAATGTAGATTCACATCGTCTCTACATATATTTCTGTCTTAGTGCATACTTTCCGATTAACTCTGCATCTCGTAAGAATCCCACAATATCTGATTTTCTCCTTAAACAGTTTTCCAGTCAGAACGTTGAAATTTCCCTAGGTAATCGCAACGGAAGTGCATAGAGAATGTTTTACTTATTAGGATAACGTCCGAGAGAGTTTTGGACTGACGTAATAATCTCTCTCGGGTTTTTATCATACATTCTCTATGCACTTCCGTTGCTTTTACTTAGGGAAATTTTAAACCGGAGTGGCAAACCTTTCTCCCTTATAATGTATAGTGGGGTATTTTTGTAGAGCGATTGATTTGGGGTTTTGACGATTTTTTCATATTGTACACTGATGAATAAGCATAATAAATATAATTTTTGAAAAAAAAATTTCAACAAGCTCCGGGGTTGAATAGGGGGGGGGGGGTCCTGTCCACAAGTACCTGTGGTGCAAACAGCATAGACTCTTTAATTTTGTTAAACTCATTTTTCTCCAAATTTATATCTCTTTGCACTGCAGTGTCATTGTTTTCATTACATTTTGTCAAAAAATACGAGGGATGTTGGTAAAGTTTGTGCACCATGCCGATTTTCGCCAACCTATCTTCAAGAATTTTTTTTAAAAAGCACAATATTATATGTTGAATTATTTATTTTGTTGATAGGTGTTTTATTTCATGTGATTTAAAACGTAGAAGTCATGTTACTTTAAAATCAACATGTATGGTAACCAAAGAGGAGAGTCAACAACTTTGAGGCTCTCAAATATACTCTCCCTTTACATTTCACACAGTATGTCCCAATTCCAGCGCACCTAATAAAATATTTTTTATCTCTCGAAATTTATTTTGCCAACATTTGTATCAGTAGCATAATTTTACTGTCCATTGTAATATATTTTACTGCGTAAATATGCTTTCACAATATCAGCAACTGTGAAACTCCTAACTCTCAACATGGCATTACTGAATTTTAGCGATTTTGAACAGATTTCTAAGGCGCCGCGTTGCGATTTTCGCATTCTTAAAAATCCAAATAAGTAAGTTTGAAATAAATTACATTTAAAATAAAATTAGGTACACGTTATTTTTATTTTTGTTAAAAAATTTCTTCCAAATTGTTCAAGAAAATAAATGCCTGCAGTCCACAACCTTTCCGAACAACCCTCGTACCGTTTAAGTTTCGTCTTTTATACTTCGAACTTTTTCTGAACTTGTTTAATATCGACATATATATTTATATGCATATCGACAGTCAGATTAGCAAAAGTGCAAAATGAGCTATGCATTATAAATACAATTTTGAATAAAGTAGGGGGTCTTTCTCCCCAACTTTGATATAGATTACTTTTTCAAATAAAATGTTAACCTTAGCATAACTGACAGGACCCCCTCAAGTGACATAAAGAAGATATCAATTTCCCTGTTTGATTTGTATTTTTTTCTAAATTAATGTTTACCTTGAAATACTCTATGTCCAAAAAGTTTATTTGTCAGTCATATTAGATAAAGTCTATTCTTATATATATATATTTTTTACTTTTCAAACAGGACAATAATTATTAACACTTGTGTATTTAAATTCTAAAAACTGTAAAAGTCAGTCGTCAATTGTAAAAGTAGGCCTCTTCATAAAACTACAATACCCCATTGGCGGGTGTATAGCGACGCTGACCACAGACGCATGGCGTTTTTAGCTTTTCTTTTCAAAATAAAAGAATTTCCCCATACTATAATGATAATAACCGTTTATAATAGTATGGGGATTTTTTTTATTTAAGAAAAGAAACGTTTAAAACTCAAGCACCTGTGATACTGATATAAAGCAGTATCAGGTATATGCGATTTGTCTTGGATTTCATTTTGTATTTTATATTGAGATACAATTTCTATTTAAAAAAAAATAAAGATTATTGGAATACAGATCTGTCTTATTTGTTATGGTTTCATTTCTTAAACTTCTAATGATGGCCATCTCACTCGGATGAGCGACTTAAAGTTCTATGTAAGGGACCTTGAGCCCCCTGTTTAGTCATGTACTTTACGAACATTCCGCACTCAAATGTGTGTTTTCTGACTCTTACGGTTTACAATTCGTGTGATTTAAATGTCACAATAGACCCAATAACCAACTGAACTAATTACTCTCAAGGTCTTATATACCCGGAACAAATACCATGCAGGAGGTTAACTTCTAATCGTTAGTATCATTTGCAATCAACACATTATCAACCCCATTGAATTATAAATTTGCTTTTAATTATAAAGAAGACTCCTTATCCCGTTCCTTTTTTTACAATGTTTAATAAAGTTACCTGTCTACAATAAATTTAGTTTAATATTGTATGCATTTACAAGCACAGTTATTCATAAATCTGTTTGCACCTTAAGGTTTGTCTGAATTAATTCACAGAATGCAATTCCTTTTTTAGCTCACCTGAGCCGAAGGCTCAAGTGAGCTTTTCTGATCAAAATTTGTCCGTCGTCTGTCGTCGTCGTTGTCGTAAACTTTTCACATTTTCATCTTCTTCTCAAGAACCACTGGGCCAATTTCAACCAAACTTGGCACAAAGTATCCTTGGGTGAAGGGGATTCAAGTTTGTTCAAATGAAGGGCCAAGCCCTTTTCCTAGGGGAGATAATCATGATTTAGAGAAAAATTATTGGCATTTTTAGAAAATCTTCTCCTCAGAAACCACTGGGCCAGGAAAGATGAAACTCATGTGGAATCATCCTCAGGTAGAGTAGATTCAAGTTTGTTCAAATCATGACCCCCGGGGGTAGGGCGGGGCCAAAATGGCCGATCAAAGTTTTACATAGGAATATATAAGAAAAATCTTTAAAAATCTTCTCAAGAACCAATGGGCCAGGAAAATGAAACTCATGTGGTATCATCCTCAGGTAGTGTAGATTCAAGTTTGTTCAAGTCATGACCCCCGGGGGTAGGGCGGGGCCAAGATGGCCGATCAAAGTTTTACATAGGAATATATAGGAAAAATCTTGAAAAATCTTCTTCTCAAGAACCATTGAAACAGGAAAATGAAACTCATGTGAAATTATCCTCAGGTAGTGTAGATTCAAGTTTGTTCAAGTCATGACCCCGGGGTAAGGGTGGGGCCAAAATGGCCGACCAAAGTTTTACATAGAAATATATCTAGGGAAACCTTTTTAAATCTTCTTTTCAAGTACTTCAAAACCAGGATTAGTAATATTTGTATGGAATCATCCTCAGGTAATGTAGATTTAGTTCGTTCAAATTATGATCCCCTTGGCCAATGGGGGTTAAAATTCAAGCCCCCCCCCCCAACTTAAATTAACTTTCAGTTCTGATCTGATGTGTTTTTTCCTAGCTGATGTGCTCAGGTGAGCGCTGTGACCCCTGGGCCTCTTGTTAGTTCCACTTTTCTTAGTTTCTAGATTTATCATTAAAATGATCCTTGATATGAAAATTGACACGTTATTGATGGAAAAGGGTACCAAGAAGTAGAAACCATTCGGTCACAAAAGCCCCGAAACCCTATTTATGATGTAGACGGAGTAATCCGAAGCCAAATTTAGTATCATCAAAGCAATGACCAAACAAATGATAATGATATTGTTTTTCATACAGCTTAAAATTTCAAATGCATTGATACATTTTCAAACCGGAAAATCAAATTCCCACAAACCAATATTTTTTTTTCTTAAAAACCTCGAACATTTGATCCCAGAAAAATATGTGTGCATCAAAACATATGTTCTAAAAACCTTTTAGATATATTTCATAAGAAAATTCAGCAGTAATGTTTGTGTATTCGTACTCCAACTGAACTGCGTGACGTTAAGCCCGGTTTTTCTGATGATTAGTTTAAACAGACGTATAGCATTTGATGCTGGGGCTGCTAAGTGGTCGTAATGTCAAGTACCCGGCGTAAGTGATGTCAGGGGATGTTTACTTTTGCTAGGCACCTGATCTCACATCTGTGTGTTATACCTTGTTATACCTTAAGGAGAGGAACTCGTAAGTTGAAAAAAAAATTGTTTCCAATCCTTTTGTTTATACAATAAAATATGTTCAAAACAAATCAAAACATACCTTGTTCAACCTTATTTAAACTTTTTTAAAGATTGATAACTATTTGTCTTTATATTTTTTTATCTAAAAAAAAGAGAAATACGTTAGTGCATTTATGGAATACACACGATATTTATTTTCTCAGCCTGAAAGCATACCAAAAGTATAACGAATCAATTTTGTTTCCCTGAAGTAAAATGTCCTAAAATGTATATTTCATTGACTGTCATTAGCTAGAGTAAATAAATATTCCGAACAGAGATTTCTACTCAAAAAATTTCTCTAAATATGTAGTTAAAAGTTTTGTTTGTGAAGTTTTTAATATCACCATCAATAAGCTATGAGTTTCAACCACTAAACTATGACGTCACAGCCAATGACAATGTGTTAGGAAAAACAAAGGCTATGGAACTTCAAGAAACGGACAATGCAATGTTTTAGTGATGGAGTATGAAATATATTTCATTTGTGAGACAGGAATACATATTTTTTACTTCTGTTCAAATTCGTGTACCACTTATGAAATGCTTTCCATATCCAACTTACTAAGATTGAATATTCCATAAATAGTGAAGATAAATATTTGAAATATGTGGTAATAGCGAAGAGTATTCGAGCTCAAAAGTCCATTTCACATTAAATCTTAGGAGCAGAGCAAACACGGACCTCTAAAACATCAGAGGCGGGATGGATGCTATGGAGTAGGGAGCATCCCCTACCGGCCAGTCACAATCCGAACCGCTAGTTCACCTATCATATTCGGGAAAAATGTTTCATTCGTAGAAAAATGCAGTGTGTATTATTTTAATTGCAGTATACTTTTATTTGTAAAAATAAATTATACTGGGTAATAATGACTGTAAATTTTACTGTTCATCTTTTATGGCAGTTATGATTAAATGAACTTAACTATTTTATTCTATAGGTTTAGTTCCATATATTTATGGATGTTATATTCGTTGTCATTTCTTAACAATCTATTCTTTATTGATTGATTGATTGTATACTGTTTAATGTCCCTCTCCAGAATATTTCACTGATATGAAGACGTCCCCGTTGCCGGTGAAGGGCTGCAAATTTAGGCCTATGCTCGGCACTTACGGCCTTTGAGCAGATAGGGATCTTTATCGTGCCACACCTGCTGTGACACGGGGCCTCGGTTTATACGGTCTCATCCGAAGGACCGCCCAATTTAGTCGCCTTTTACGACAAGCAAGTGGGTACTGAGGACCTATTCTAACCCGGATCCCCACGGGGCTATTCTTTACTGAATTCTATATGTCAAATTCCAAATTTTTTTTATTCACTAAATATATTATATACATTGTCAACTTTCATAGTAATTGACTGTTTCTTAACTTTACCTTTATTCAAGAATTGTTTATTCATCATGGAACAGGCAGATTGCCAATGGAAGCCTTGAAATTCAATTAAATGTCAATATCAAAGAGATCTAACAACTGATTTTATTCATGAAAAGTAAAAAAAACTCTGTAAATTATTAACAGGATATACATTTTACATCTAGATTTACAATCTCTCTCTCTCTCTCTCTCTCTCTCTCTCTCTCTCTGATATTTATCTAAACAGTACGTTCATCCTTCGGAAAAGATTGATTTGGGACTTTTCCTATGTAAATGTTGGCTTCAGGAAGGTTAACATAAATCACTGGGGCGCCTTTCTTTCCCTTCCATTTCTGGAATTTTGCACTTATGCCAGGAAAGAGGTTCTGGACAGAAGGGAAGACATTCTCCTTCGTAATGGAATTTTCAGACAATTTCTCTCCAGTGCAACTACAAAAAAAAGCATTTATGTTTTTAATACTCACCGATATTCGTAATTAAATGTATAGATTATTATCATGTATTTATCATTTATCATTATTAAATAGAGTAAATAAAAAGTTTTTCTTGCAAGTCATGATCACAACTAGGTAAAATTATTAAACATCAAGCTTGATGTTAAACATAGTTCAAGTTTATCGTTGACGTTTGCAAGCATCCTTACCTTTTCCTCTTTCTCTTTATAATACCACCGCGGCAAAGATGTCTTCGTGACGAATAAACTCGATTTCCACAACATTTCGGTTTTGGCAGATCCTTCACGGGAAACACAAAACCTAGAAAACATGTGTATGAAAACATAAATACATCGAATATAAAACATTAGGAGAAATATCTGTCTACAGTTACAAACCTTGACAACATTTTTCACTCTTCTTATCGAATGGAGTGGCAGATTTTTCAGAATGACAGCAAAGTTGAAAGGTAGAGTTGTAAAATCCATCGCCACAACATCTTATGCTTTCATCAGCAGAAATTCGATTGCCTTTGCAGCAGATTTCTGAGTTTTGCTGATAAAGTTCTGAAACATTTTCATGCAGAATATAACTATTAATAAAGTGAACGAGACTTTAACTACTTTGAACATACAATCATGGTCAAATCGTTTAGTGAAAAAATATAAATATGGAGATAATGAACAGTATTCAAGCTCAAAAGTTCATATAACAATACAAAATAGGAGCAGAGCAAACATATACCTCCAAAACATCATATGTGGGTTCAGGTGCCATGAAGGAGTGATCATCCTCTGATCTAATCTATGTATTTTTTTGCAAAGTATGACAACCATTTAAGTTTACTTACGTCCTCCACAGCAGTGTCCTGTTTTCGGTTGAACGTAGGCGGATCCAGACCAAATACAGCATTGCTTTACCCGTCTGTCAATTAAAGAGGAGCCGCAACATTTGAAATTGGACTGATAGGAAGATTCACCATAGAGCGTTGACCGGCCACAACAGATTCGCCTTCTTTTATCATAGAATTCACCGTTACAGATATCGTATTCAATCGGAACTACTGTGTTATTCAAGCATTTGAATAATGTTGCGTTGTAAAAAGTTTTCCCGTTACAACATTTAAAAGGTCGTGACGTTCCCTTTTCTCCACACCAGGTTATGCTCGCTGAAATGAACGATTAGAATACTTTTTACCGTTTGTGCTTTCAGTTCCTACTACAATAATACAACTGTTCTTACCATTGCAAATAATTATGCATTTTAAAATTATTTAAAAATACAATATTATGTAAATTAAAATTAAACAATTTTCTATCATTGTCTTTTCTTTAAAACAGAAAAATAAACACTTTCGCGCCCGCGAGAAGTAAGCAAAAGAGTTTAGATATATCTTTATTTTCTACTTGAAAGTTTTTGAAAAAATTAATTTGCTTACAATTTCGGTCGTTTTTAATATTTCCAACACATATTCCTCGGTGCTTTGATAGTTCACTGACTTCTTCGTCACAGCAAAGCTCAATTTCTGGATAAAATGTTACCTCTACAATAAAAATGATAAGAAATAACAAAATCGCGCTTACTAGACTATAGCATTACTACAAGTTTTCATTTCTATATCGCACTAACATATTTGAAAATCAGCAACTTTATTCGAACAGACTTTCTTCAATACCTCAAAAAAAGAGAGAAAAAAATCAAACAATCCGCTTGGAAGGATTGCGATTTCTTTTTTCTGCGACCGCTCCAACATAATAATAAATAAAGAATTTAAATGAAACTTAACAAAACACTGCTAAGTTAAAGCGGTAACTCCTATTTTGGACTAGAAATGATACCTTTAGTATGAAAGATTATATATGATTTTTTTTTATTAATAAAGGCAGATGTTATAATTCTTGCCTCCACAGCATTCCTTCTTTACGCCCAAGTGATATTTATCGTGCACTCCTGACTTAGGACAACAAATATGCGTAGAATTAACGAACTTCTTTTCCAAAACCTCTTCATTCTTTGTATACACACAACGTGTAAAGTTGATAACTGTAATTAAAACATTTATTTATTTAAGTTATTAAAGCAGACCTGGTTTGTAAACTATTTTTGTAAATGTGATGTATTAATCTACAAACGCGCAGGTAAGTTATGTTCGACAATAAACATACTAAATACTGATAAAACAAAAATAGTGATTTAGCTAAGTATCCAATAATTTTAGAGTACAACAGTATACTGATATATATTATTCACTTAAACATTCATGAGATGCTGCAATTTGACATAATTATATACTTACCGTGGCCAGAGGATTCTTGTGAAATACACACAAGGGACAAGAGTAACAGATAAAAAGTAGATTTCATTTTTCTCAATGGATTTCAGAACAATATGTGCAGTGTTGGATGATTTTGGTATTTATAATACTTTGTAATGACGTCGATAATTTAAACATATAAGATTATTTAAATTAATCTGCAAAAACAATAATCTCGGTTTATTTATAAATTTCCGTTGGGGAAAACCCCTCCCTCCTAGCTTCAAATGTGTATTGTATACATGTTCGGTTCCAATATAAACTTGAATATAATTTCGCACTTAAAATTTTAACAATTTTTCTTCATTATAGATTAATTGTGTATGGACAATTCCATGTAATTAATAGTATGAGACACGGATATATCATTTGAAGCAGTATCAAAGATCAAACAGGTGTTCTTTTGTTTATTATTTTTTTAAGTAATTTTATATGCAGATATATCTCTTCAGCTGTTTTGGGGACACTTTAACCAGTATTTATTGGCAGTCGTTTGCAACTTTGCTGCATGGTTCAAATATGACAAATTAAATATTTTTCCTCAGCTAATAAATTATCCTCTTTCTGTAGAAAAAAAAGATTTTTGTCTGCAGGGGTTGTGCACTTAAGACCATTTGTGTATTCAGCAAGCACCTCTATTGATAACTACCTGCACTAAAAATATGTCAGTTCTTTAGAAAGCTGAGACCTTCTGAAGTACATGTATACATTCAACAACTTATAGACAAAATTCTTCAAGGTTTACAAACCCTGATAAAATTCAGTCAAGTGATTTAATCTTTTGTAACACGTGCAGTTTTCTTTATCGGTATCGTCCCAGTTGGAATTTCAAGAAGATTTCAGGTATAAAAGATTCAAGATATATCTAAAAGTACATGGTGAAAAGGTCAAAGAGTACAAACTATTGTTGACATTCCTTCAATGTTTACTCTGTATCGTAGTCAGCCTGTAAATACATCATAATTTACGATGCCATAACTCTTTCTGAAGTTCTCTCTTGGTATCAAAATATCCGTTAATTCGGTATATTTAATACATTACAACCATACAATCATACTTCACAATCACTAGAAAGTTTACAAACATATTCTTCCGTAGTGTCAGATCAAGTTATCGAGCTTTGAAGTAGCATCTCACAGAATATAAAGTTTATTGGGGGATTTAAAAATGAGTTCATTCATTTAAGTTAAATTTATCCACAAAGTTGTCAAGGGGTAAAATGTATTAATTTCTTGTTTTTGCAAATCCATACCCATCAATAAAAATATTTGTTTAGACTGTTGATACGTAGCCGTCTTTCTAAAAATTAAGTAGCATTATACTCGAAAACACTTGCTTGTCTTGCAAGCACAAGAATAACGGGGATTAACGGATGCATATTGATGCAGATTAAATGATTAAGCCTTTAACTATGTAAACATTAAAGATGCATTAACACTTTATAAGCACAAGAATAACGGGGATTAACGGATGCATATTGATGCAGATTAAATGATTAAGCCTTGAACTATGTAAACATTAAAGATGCATTAACACTTTATAATAAAAGAATTCCCAAACATACACTCAATATTGGAGCATTCTCAGGATACTGGAATGTTCAATGTAAGAAAGAATAAACACAGATCTATAATTATCAAGCCCGGAAGAAATATATGCATGAATTTGTAAAGATATATAATATTTATTTTAAATCGTCGTTTAGTTTGTTGGTTATACGGGGACAGTCATGACTTTGCAAACTGGGAAAATTTATTCATTAGAGCGAATTTTATATTAACAGTTATATGTGAAATAAAACGGTTAGTATATATATTAAGCAGAGTTATATTGGGGGTTCGTTTTGATATGTTTAATTTATCTTTTTAACAAAAACACTGGAAATTAATGATCAGCCAAATGCTATCTTGTTGAAATGTTGCTCTCTTCTTCTTGTGAATAGAATTGCTCTCTCCTCTAACTCATCTTGTACAATTGCTTTTTTAAAGGTACGATCATTTAAACAAATAGAAATGTGATTATTAGTAACGGCTAAAGCCTGTCACAGTTTCATCACACGCAATTTAATTAGTACTTTTTATATGAAGGACAGACGATACACACAATCCTTTGTTTAAAAAAATTGAAATTAACAATTTCAGTTTAGTTTTAATTGGTTACAAAGCGTAGGTTTTTTTTTATTTTTATTTGATGTTTAACAATTATTGGATTTGAAGTGAAATAAATTTGCAATGTATAGATTAATAAGAAAGGTTGCAGAAAGGTATACTTTATAAGATCATGGAAGGTTTGCAATTTCTAAATATTTTTAAGGATGTACAACACATCTACCCCAAAAAATTCCTGTCGTTTAATTTTCGTTATTTTTGTATATTTAGTACATGACTATATCTACTGCATGTATGCATATTTTGGACAAAATCATTCGAGTGGGTTTTGGACAGGAACTTCCGAAAGTTACCCCCTTTAGTTGTTTACAAGGAGAGAAAATTTTTAATCAATGAACTACTTAAACCTTGATTTTCAAAAAAAAAAACAGGTTAGATATAAATGTCAAATTTCATTGGCTTATTCCTTTCACCATTTAACACAAAAACATAGTCATCTTTTTGACATATGTATATCATCAATACAATTTTTAAAGACCTTAAAATGAAAAACTATGAATTTTCCAAGACTTGAAAATTGCGTATTTTTCAAATTCAAAATTTTTTTGTGAAAAAACCTGTCGTTTAATTTTGGTAAAAATCTTTCTTTAGGTAGCTGGTAGTAAAAATAATCTTCATAATTTTTTGTATAATTTTTGTACGAACAGTTTTGATTTAATAGCAGAAAATTACCCCCCACCCCCTTTCTCAATAAATCACGTTCCCGCGCGTCTTTCAGACGGGGGTCGATCACTTTGTTATATGAATCTACAAATACACATTTAAAAAATTAAATTGGAATATTGCTTTTGCTTGAAAAATATAACTTACAAATTTAAAAGTTCTCATATGTAAAGCGTATTTAAATGTAGATTTTTAGGCAATTTTTGAATACCCCTATCACCCCCACCCCTTCCTATTTTGCGTTGCAGACCATTAGCGTTTGACGAAACGTCGTTTACAGTGCAAATATACTGGTGTTTCGTCAAGAATCGCGGAGGTATGCATTAGTTTTGAAATTCATGAATGCAGAATAAATATTGACTACTCTTTTTATATATATCATATACCTAGTAGTGTATCAGCCCTGATACAAGTGTTTTGGACTAGGCGAGACAGCGCCTTGGAAGTAGGGCTGTCTCGCCCTCAGGGCTGAGATATCTCTGTCTCGGCCCGTCGTCAAGGGGCTGTCTCGCCCTCAAATTTCAAATCATTATTTCTGTTTAAT